TTTGGAGAAATGTCTGTTCAGATTCTCTGCACATTTTGAAACTGGGTTGTTTGTTTTTTTGGTATTGAGTTGTATCAGTTCTTTATATAATTTGGGTATTAAACTCTTATCAGATATATAATTTGAAAATATTTTCTCCCTTTCAGTAAGTTATTTTTTCATTCTGCTGGTGATTACTTTTGATGTGCAGAATCTTTTAAATTTAATGTATTCCCACCTGTTTAATTTTGCTTTTGTTGCTTTGGCTTATGGTGTTAGATTCAAAAAGTCGTTTCTGAGACCTGTGACATGGAGCTTACCAGCTAGGTTTTCTTCTAGGAATTTTATGGTTTCAGGTCTTACATTCAAGTCCTTAATCCATCTTGAGCTAATTTTTGTGTATGGTGTAAGACAGTGGTCCAGTTTCACTCTTCTGCAAGCGGCTGTCCAGTTTTCCCAACACCATTTACGGAAGAAACTATCCTTTCTCCATTGTGTATTCTTGGCTCCTTTGTCATAAATTAATTGACCATATAACTGTGGATTTATTTCTGGGCTCTCTATTCTGTTCTATTGATCTATATGTCCGTTTTTATGTGAATACCATACTGTTTTCATTACTATAGCTTTTTAATGCAATTTGAAATCAAGGAGCATAATGCCTTCAGCTTTGTTTTACTTTCTCAAGATTTCTTTAGGTATTTGGGGTCTTTTGTGTTTCCATACAAATTTTAGGATTATTTCCTCTATTTTGTGAAAAAAAAATGTCACTGGAATTTTGATAGTGATTGCATTGAATCTGTACATTGCTCTGGGTAGTATGGATATTTTAAGAATATTAATTCTTCTTATTCATGAGCACAGAATAGCTTTCCATTTATTTATATTTTATTCAATTTCTTTTATTAATGTCTTGCAATTTTCAGTGTACAGGTCTTTTACCTCCTTGATTAAATTTATTCCTAGTTATTTTTTTCTTTTTTATGAAATTCTAAACGGGATTGTTTTCTAAATCTCTCCTTCTAATAGTTTGTTATTAGTGTGTAGAAACACAACACATTTTTGTGTATTGAATTTGTATCCTACAACTTTATTGAACTTATTTATTAGTCCTAACAGATTTTGGTGAAGTCTTTATGGTTTTCTACACATAATATTATGTCAACTACAAATAGTAGCAGTTTTACTTATTTCTTTCCAATTTAGATGACTTTCTTTCTTTGTCTTGCCTAATTTCTCTGGCTAGGACTTCCAATACTATATTGAATTAAAGTGAAGAGAGTAGGTATCTTTGCCTTATTCCTGATCTTAAATAAACTGCTTTTAGCTTTTCACCATTGAGTATGATGTTAGCTTTGGGTTTGTCATATATGGTTTCTATTTTGTTAAGGTGCGTTCCCTCTATATCCACTTTGTTGAGATTTTCTATCATAAATGGATGTTAAACTCTGTCAAATGCATTTTCTGCATCAATTGAGATTATCATATGATTTTATCCTTCATGTTGTTAATGTGGTGCATCTAATTGATTGATTTGTAGATGTTGAACTATCTTTGCATCCCTGGAATAGATCCCTCTTGATTGTGATGTATGATCCTTTCAATATATATTTGAATTCAGTTTGCTAACGTTTTGTTGAGGATTTTTGCACCAATGTTCATCAGGGATATTGGCCTGTAATTTTTTTTCCTTGTGGCATCCTTGTCTGGTTTGGGTATGAGGGTAATGCTGGCCTCATAAAATGAGCTTGGAAGCATGTATAATTTTTAGAAATTTCTCTTCTTCTCTTTTTTGAGATTGGATTTATTGCTTATCAGTTTTGGTTTGGTTTATTGTTAAGAGTTTATGGGTTATGAGTCTTGGATTGGTATTAACTCTTCTTTGAAAGCTTGGTACAATTAACCAGTGAATCCACCTGGTCCTGAACTTTTGTTCCATGGGAGGTTTTTTGATTACTAATTAAATCTGCTTATTAGTAATCAATCTGTCCAGATTTTCTACTACTTCATGACTCGGTCTTGACAGGTTGTATGTTTCAGGAATTTATCTATTTCTTCCAGGTTGTCAAATTTTTTGGAATATCATTGTTCATAGTAGTCTCTTATGATCTTTTCTATTTCTGTGATATCTGTGGTAACATGTCCTCTTTTATTTCTGATTTTATTTGAGTCCTCTATCTTTTTTCTTTGTGAGTCTGTCTAAATATTTCTCAATTTTGTTCATCTTTTCAAAGAACCAGCTCTAAGTTTTGTTGCCCTATTCTATTTTTTTGTTTCTATTTCATTTATTTCTGCTCTGATCTGTGTTGTTTCCTTTCTCCTACTAAATTTTGGCTTTGTTTCTTCTTCTTTTTTTAGTTCCTTGAGGTGTAAAGTTAGGTTGTTTATTTGAGATTTTTCATGTTGCTTGATTTAGGCATTTATCATTGTAAACTTTCCTCTTAGAAAGGCTTTTGCTACATTCTATAACTTTTGGTATGCTGTATTTCCATTTTTGTTTGTCTCAAGGTATTTTTGGATTTTAAAAATTTATTCTTTGACCCACAGGTTGTTTAGTAACATGATAATTTCCACATATATGTGAATTTTTCAATTTTCCTCTTATAATCGGTTTCTAGTTTTGTATCATTACTGTCAGAAAAGATACGTGACATGATTTCAATCCTCTTAAATTTATTAAGACTCACATTGTGGCCTAACATATGATCTATCCTGGAGAATGTTCCATGTGCACTTACAGGAATGTGTGTTCTGTTGCTTTGGATGGAATTTTCCATAAATATCTGTTAAATCCATCTGGCCTAACATGTCATTTAAGACAAATGTTTCTGTATTGATTTTCTGTCTAGATGATATCCATTGATGTAACTAGGATATTAAAGCCCCCTACTATTATTGTACTGCTATTTCTCCCTTTGGGTCTGTTAATATTTGATCTACATATTTAAGTACATTCCTTCTTGAGATCTTTTATAAGGGAAGAAAGTTCAATTTTGTCAAATTCTTTCTTTGCATCTACTGAGGGGATCATGTGATTTTTATCTTTAATTCTATTAATGTGGTTTATCATGTTTATAGATTTGCATATCTTGAAAGATCTTTGCATCCCAGTGATAAATCTGAACTCATCATGGTTTATGTTCCTTTTCATATGCTGTTGAAATTAGTTTGCTAGTATTTTGATGAGAAATTTCACTTTTATATTTATCAGGGATATTGTTTTTTAGTTTTATTTTCTGGTAGTGTACTTATCTGGCTTTGATATAAGGGTACCGCTGGCCTCATAAAATAAGTTTGTGAGTGTTCATTACTCTTCGATTATCTGAAATAGCTTAAGAGAATTCACATTAATTCTTCTTTAAAAGTTTGGTATAATTTACCTGTGAAACCATCCAGTCGTATGCTTTTCTTTGGTGGGAGGTTTTTGATGAGTGATTCAGTTTTCTTTATTTGTTATTGATCTGTTCAGATTTTCTATCTTGATAATTCAGTCTTGGTAGGTTGTATAGTTTTAAGAATTTATCCATTTCTTCTAGGTTATCCAGTTTGTTGGTGTATAATTGCTCCTAGTAGTTTCTCATGATTCTTTGTATTACTGTGTGTTCTTTCATTTTTTATTTTTATTTTAATTTGGGACTGTCTTCTGTTTGTCTCACTAAAATTTTGTGTATTTTGTTTATGTTTTCAAAAAACTATCTTTTAGTGTCTTTGATCTTCTCTATTGATTTTCTGGTCTCCATATCATTTATTTTCTCTTCTCTTTGTTATTTCTTTCCTTCTGGTGACCTTGGGCTTAGATTTTTTCCCCTAGTTCATTGTGATATAAAGTTAGATTGTTTATTTGTCATCTTTCTTTTACTTAATGTAGGTGTTTATCACTATAGGCTTCGATCTCAGTACCGCTTTTGCTGTATCCCATAAGTTTGGGTATGTTTTGCTTCCATTTTCACTTGTGTGGGTGAGGATATAGAGTATTGGGAGTACCAGTGGGCCACTTGGGAGTATTTGTAGGCAAGGTGTCCCCAGCATCTTGTGGATGGGCTTCCAGATGGAGTTTGTTTATCAGATAATAAGATTTGAGCCCCTTTGATGGCTTTCAATAGCTCTACTGTTGTTTTTCCAGCTGCTCCCTGCCTGCTAGTCATGGAACACACCTCAATTTTCTGGATGGGTGAGAAAGAAGTGGGACTCTTTGGCAGCATTCTGTACAGCTGGGGAAATTGGATGCTCACTCATATGTTCTGACTTTTCCCTGTGGGAAAAATCACAAGCTAAAAATGTCTCTTGGCGCTGAGCTGTGCCACTTTGGGAGAGGGGTGACATAGCTAAAGTGAAAATATTCCCCTTACTCTCTTGAATGCATCAAATCTCAGGTATGCTTTGTTCTCCAACAGTGTCCTGGGACCTCGCTGATGGATTTCCAGACTTCCACAAAAACACTTTCATCTGTGGGTAATTGTCAAAATTTTTGTTCTTTATGGAGAAGATGGTAGAAAACTCCTATATCACTGTTACGATGATGTCCCTCCTGGCCTCTAATATTTCTGATGAAATCAACTGCAATCTTATTCATTGTCTTCTACACATGGTGAGTTGTTTTGCTTTTGCTGCTTTCAAGATTTTCTCGTTGTCTTTAACTTTCACCATTTTAACTATGATATTTCTGTGTTCGAATCTCTTTGAGCTTATCCTAATTGGAGTTTTTTGAATTCTTGAGTATGTAGATTAATATTTTTCATCAAATTTGAGAAGTTTTTAGCCATTTTATTTCAAATATGTTTTCAGATCTTTTCGTTCTCCTCTTCTGGTCTTTGTGTTAGTCATACATTTGTGCACTTAGTAGTGTCCCACATTTTCCTGGGGACTTTTTTATTTTTCTTCATTCTTTTTACTCCCTATTCTTCAGAATGAATAGTCTGTATTTGTATATCATCAAATTTCTTGATTATTTCTTCTGTCAGCTTAAATCTACTACTGTTAAGCCCCTCTAGCAATTTTTTTAAATTTCACTAGGCACATTTCAAGTCCAAATTTTCTATTTTTTCTGTTTTATAATTTATTCCACTTTATTGATAATCTCTATTTGTTGAGATATTTTCATAATACTGTCCTTTAATTTTTTGACAGTGCTTCCTTTGATTCTTTGAACATATTTACAGCAGGTACTTTGTCTTCTTAGTCCAGCATTTGGTCTCTTTCAAAGGCAGTCTCTATTGCTTGCTTTTTTCCTTTTTTGGGTTACATGTTTCTATTTCTTTGCATATCTCATAATTGTTGAAACCTGGATATTTTAAATAATATATTGTAGCAAATTTGGGTGCTAATCTAACCCTCTTCCAGGATATGTTGTTGTTTTCTTGATTAATGATTTATTTGTTTAGTAACTTGGGTGAATTGTACCTAAGCAGTTTCCAGTGCACTCACTCTGGTATTTTTCATTTTTTAATTCCTCAATCCTGGATGCTTTGCTTTTGCCCATGGTTCAACCTATCCACTTGTTGGCCAAAATGTTTGCCAAAGCTTCCTTAGCTAGCTAGAATTTTACTTTTTTGCCATTAAATGTGTGTGCACTTGTAGGCTTCTTCACAGTTCTAAAAGTTTATGACTTTTCCCCATGTTAAGCCATGACTATTACCTTGGAGTCTCCCTTTGTGATCATTCCTGAGAGGGCGTTGTGTTGGGTAAGTGTACCATTGTCAAGAAAAAGAGGGTTGAGTGTAATTTCATTTTTGATCTTGACTTTCTAAAAATCATCTCCAGGTCAAAATAGTTTATTGTTCAGGCAGTGTTTGGTCAGAATTTGTAATAAAGCCCTTTGTGGTGGTAAGGCTTATATCCTTTGTTGATGGTACTGTGTATAACTTGAAAGATTTATAAAAGATTTTCTTAAGTACTGCTCTAATTGCTCCTGAGTGGGTACTACCTAATACCTGCACACCGACTTTCTAACCTGCAAGACTGAGTGTGATTCTTGAAGTATGTTTCAGATTATATCCCTCCCAAGTACTCTCTGATAAATTTCTAGCTGATCTATCATTTCTCTTATTGTTCCAAGTATCATGGAGCTACCAGACGCTCTGACTTAATTATTGTATACCAAGATCTCCACTGTTTTAACGATGCTTTGGTCACAAATTTTTCACATTCTATACCAAATAAATCAGTTCCTTCAGACAAAGCTCCAGAGCTCTTCATCCTTAAAGCCTAGCTCTACCCCTAGGCTGAATTTTTATGCCGCTTCACAGGAGCTGGGAACAGAGACACCGAACTACTTATTTTAGATTGATAAATATGCTTTGCTAGTGGAAACATAAGAGAATATCTCCTGGTCTTGGCTTGCCCCTTCTGGCATGAATAGCCAGCCTACAATCAAGGTAAGGCTACAGCATTTGGAATCCCAGTATATTTGGCTTGCCATACCTAGGGTAGAACTTCTACCATATGTATTAGGACTGTGTGGAAGAAAGGACCTCCAGTGCTCTCAGGAGCGCTGTCCAGAATAGAGCTTCTTCAGCCTGGAGCTGAGAAAAATGAGAAATGCCAACAACCTCTCCTGCGTTGAAAACATAGCCCTGAGATGGGCTCTGAGGGTAAAGGAAGCTCCTGATTTGTAGTCATCGCCCCTCTCATAGCCAGTTTCTATTGCATGCTTTTTCAGCAGTGTAGTTTCACATTCCTGTTTCTTTATATTTCTCTTAATGTCTTTTTGAAAACTGAAAATTTTATATAATGTATCATAGCAACTCTAGATTCTGATTTCCCTCCCTCTGGGGCTTATCTTTATAGCTGTTTTTGTTTTTGTTGTTTTCTGTTCACCTGTTCATTCATTTAGTGACTTACCTGGACTAATTCTGTTGATTCCGTTTCTCCCACTGTGAGTCTCTGATGTCATTGCTCAGTTTTTCTTTGTATTTAACTTTAGATTGGCTTCTTAGGGAGCACCCCTGGTTTAGCATCTCATAGTGGTTAGTCACTGGTTGTTCAGAGATAATTCTTAAACACATTGAACCAGTCAAGTTTTTCACCTTTGCTGTCAGATCTGTTTGTGACTTGGGGAATTATTTCAAAGTTCAAGGAGTTTACAAGTCCACTCTGTATTCATCTAGGAACTAGTAGCTTGCAAAGGTCCTTTCCAGTATCTCTGGAGCAGAAACAGCCTTGCACATTGGCACAGCCTTCTAGATGACCAGAGGTAAGCGTGATCTTATCAGACCCATCTTTGACTCTCACTTTTCTTGGATCCCTCTGTTAAATTTCTATCTGGTCTGCTGTTCTATTGATTGTCTCAAATATTGCTGTTATGATATTACCATTTTATGATTCTGTGCATGTGAGATCTTGATTTTTTTCAACAATGTTCCTAAGCTTAGATTCTTTCCTGATTTGCTTCCAATAAAGTTTGTCCCCTGTGTTTCAGCAGTAATACTTGCCCTGGCTCGGGGTCATACTTCCACATCACAGAAACTGAAGGATGTGTTGGAGCATCTCCTTGAAAAACATGCTACAGACTTTTGCTGTTCTTACTGACATTCAACAGGTATCTTGAATAAATACTTCTCAATTTGTCATATGTCCTTTGGTCAATATCTAGAGACTTTAAATTGTTATTTTCTACTATTTTGTCCAGCTTCATTATTGTCTGTTAAAAGAAGACTTACTAAGCTCCTCACACAGCCATTCTGGATGTCCTTATCCCCAGGTATATATTTGTTATGAATATTTTATAATACCATTTGACACACCCAAGAAACTTCAACATGTTAACAGTGTATATGTGTTATTTTTTTATTTTAAAAATACATATTTAATATTTTTGCTGACCAATTAAGTTCATTGAAACAACATTGATAATTGTCGTGGTAGTTTCCAGGACAGATACACATATTGATAACTAATTTTTAGCTTTTAAGGAGCTTAACACCTACTAGGAGTTATAACTATTAATAGATTTGATATAGTAATTTCTCAAGAGAAGAGTAAATATATCACTATTAAAGCACAAACGAAGAAATCAAAAGGCGAGACATAATATTTGCACTGGAATATGAGGAGTTTGAACTCAGGTTCATTAAGAGTTCTGGTTAAATGAGGTAATCTGAATCATTACCTAGATCCTAAGATACTAATAATATGGGTTTATTTTATTTAGTTCTGTTTTGTATTCAAAGAGACATTCAAGTGAAGTTGCTTTGAAATGAAAGTCCCATAGAAATACAAAGTGTCATTTTCCTAGAAAGTACTAAAAGAATCTATATGATGTAAGCATAACTTCATTGGAATTGTATACATAATAGTTGAAAAACTCAAGACTACTCTTTCTCCTATAACAAAATCCTTTACTCCAGTCATTTTAAAGTTCATATTCCACAAATTCATGTGTCCTTGAAATTTTATTTTACAGGCCTTGGCAAAAATCATCATTTCTAATTTGTTTTGCCAATTTTGTCATTGCTTACCCTACAAAAAACAACTTAGACTTAGCCTACTTTTGGCTAAGATAATTTTTAAAATAATTTTGTCTTATTTGTTTTCTCTGTGTTACAGTAATCATATCAAATATATGGCTTTGATATACTACCATTACCACTTTCAGAGTACAGGCTGTGGGTAAAGGAAGACTTTGATTATAATCATAGGCTGTAAAAATAAAAGATACACTGTGACAAAACAAAGGTCAGTATATATCAGTTTTAAGATAGAACAAGTTTCATACTTTTTTTTCTGAAACCACTGGAAGCAAGCTCTGTTTTTGTTTTTACCACTTTTAAATAAATGAAGATATAATTCATGTATAACACCATGTAAGTTTAAGGTGTACAACATGTTGATTTGATACATTTATATATTGCAATATAATTACCACTATAGCCTCAGCTAACACCTCCGTTACATAACATAATTATTATTTCTTTTTCTGCGGTAAGAACATTTAAGATCTAGTCTCTTAGCAACTTTGAAGTATATAATACCATACTGTTAGCTACAATCACAATGCTATGCATTAGATCTCCAAACATTTACTTTCCAGTTTTGTTTGTACACTTTGACCAACATCTCCTCAATTTCACCGTCTGCCAGCTCCTAGTAACTACCATTTTACTCTCCATTTCTAGAAGTTCATTTTTTTAGATTCCACATACGATATCACACAGTATTTGTTTTCCTATCTGACATATCTCAGCATAATGCCCTTAAGGCCCATCCATTTTTTCCCCAATGACAGCATTTCCTTCTTTTTCATGGTTGATTAATATTCCATTCTAATACACACACACACACACACACACACACACACCACATTTTCTTTCTTTATTTATCTATTGATGGACACAAACTGTTTCCATATCTTGATTATTGTGAATAATCCTGCAAGAAACATGGGTGTGTAGACATCTTTTCAATATTCTGTTTCATTTTCTTTGGATATATACTCAGTAGTAGGATTGCTGGATCATATGGTAGTTCTATTTAAACATTTTTGAGGACTTCCATACTGTTTTCAATAGTGGCAAAACCAATTTACATTCCCTTCAACAGTGCACAAGGGTTCCCTCTTCTCCACATCCTTGTCAACACTTATCTCTTGTCTTTTTGATGATAGCCAGTCTAACAGATGTGATACGATATCACATTGTGGTTTTGATTTGTGTTTCCCTGATGATTACTGATGTTAAGCAACTTTTTATTACTTGCTGGCCATTTGGATGTCTTCTTCGGAAAAATTTCAATTCCTCTGCCCATTTTTTAATCAGATTGTTTGCTTGTTTTGTTATTGAGTTATATGAGTTCTTTGTATATTCTGGATATTAACCCTTTATCTGACATATGGTGTGAAAATATTTTCTCCCATTCTGTAGGTTGCTTTTTTGTTTTCCTGATTGTTTCTGTAGCTGTGCAGAAACTTTGTAAGTCAAATGTAGTCTCATTGATGATTTTTGCATTTGTTGCCTGTACTTTTAGTATCATATCCAAAAAATCATTGATAAGACTATTGTCAATAAGCTTTTTCCCTGTTTCTTTCTGAGTTTTACAGTTTTAGGTAATATGCTTAGGTCTTTAATGCAATTTGAGTTAATTTTTTGAGTAGTGTGAGATAGGAGTCCAATTTTATTTTTTCTGCATGTGGTTATCCAGTTTTCCCAAGACCATTTATTAAAGAGACTATTCTTTCTCCATTGAGTATTCTTGACTCCCTTGTGAAATATTAGTTGATTGTCTATGCTTCAGTTTATTTCTATGCTTCCTATTCTGTTTCATTTGTTTAAGTGTCTGTTTTTATGCCAGTACTGTACTGTTTTGATTACTATGGCTTTGTAATATTGTTTGAAATCAACAAGTATGATGCCTCTAGCTTTGTTCATCTTTCTTAGGATTGTTTTGGCTATTCAGGGTATTTTGAGATTCCATAAAAATTTTAAAATATTTTTTTCTATTTCTTTGAAAAATGTCATTGGAATTTTCACAGGGATTTTATTGAATCTATAGACAGCTTTGGGTAGTATGGACATTTTGACCATATTAATTATTCTGATCCATGAACACAGGATTTTTTTATTTGTTTGTATTTTCTTCAGTTTTGTTTATCAAAATCTTGTTTACCATTGTATAGATCTTTCACTTCCTTGGTTAAATTTCTTCCTAAGTTTTTATTGTTTTTGATGCTATTGTTAATGGGATTGTTTTCTTCATTTATTTTTCAGATATTTCATTGTTATTTATAGAAACGCAATTTGTTTCTTTATGTTGATTTATATCCTGAAACTTTAATGAATTTGTTTATTAGTTCTATCTTTTTTTGATCGAGTCTTTAGGATTTTATATATAAAAGATCACATCATACACAAATAAAGACAATTTTATTTCTTTTTTCTCATTTGGATGATGTTTATTTCTTTATCTACATTATTGCTCTAACTAGGGATTTCAGAAGACTAAAATCATACCAAATATCTTTTCTGGCCACAATGATATGAAACTAGAAATGAACAACAAGAAGAAAGCTGGAACATATACAAACATGTCACAACTAAACAACACACTCCTGAACAACACATGAGTCAAAGAAGAAATCAAGAGGAAAATCAAAAAAATATCTTGAAGTAAATAAAAATGGAAACATAACATATCGATATTTATGGGATGCTGCAAAATCAATTCTTACATGGAATATTATAGCAATAAATGTATATTAATATAGAAAGATCTGGGGCCGGCCCTGTGGCCGAGTGGTTGAGCTTGCACACTCCGCTGCGGCGGCCCAGGATTTTGCTGGTTCGGATCCTGGGCACGGACATGGCACTGCTCGTCAGGCCATGTTGAGGCAGCGTCCCACGTGCCGCAACTAGAAGGACCTGCAACTAAGATATACAACTATGTACCAGGGGTATTTGGGGAGATAGAGCATAAAAAAAAAAAGATTGGCAACAATTGTTAGCTCAGGTGCCAATCTTTAAAAACAAAAAGATTGGCCACAGCTGTTAGCTCAGGTGCCACTCTTAAAAAAAAAAAAAAGATCTTAAATAAACAACCTAACTTTACACCTCAAGATGCTAGAAAAAGAAGAAAGTAACTCAAAGGTTAGCAAAATGAAGTAAATAACAAAGCCAAGAGCAGACATAAATAAAATAGAGACCAAAAATACAATAGAACATATCAATGAATCTAAGAGATGGTTTGTTGAAAACATAAAATTAACAAACCTCTGGCTAGAGTAACTAACGAACAAAAGAAAGAAGACTGAAAAATTAACTCAAAAATGGAAGAGGAGCATTACAACTGACATCAGAGAATACAAAGAATCATAAGAAACTATTTGAACCATTATGTGCCAACAAATTGGATAATTTAGAAGAAATCGATAAAAGCTTGAAACACGTCACTTACCAAGACTGAGTCATGAAGAAATAGAAATCGGAACGGACCAATAATAAGGAGATTGAATCAGTAATCAAAAACCTCCCAACAGAACAGCCCAAGATCGAACGTTTCACTAGTGAATTCTACCAACCACTTAAAGAAGAATTAATGACAATTCTCACACTCCTCCAAAAACTGAAGAGGAGAGAATGGTCCTAAAATCACTTTTGAAGTCAGCATTACCTTGATACCAAAACCAGATAAAGTCACTACAAAGAAAGAAATCTATATACCAATATCCTGAGGAATATGGTAAAATTCTCAACAAAATATTTTCAGATTGAAATCAATAGTACTTTAAAGGATCATCCCTGGAATGAGCCCTAGGATTCATCCGTGGTATGCAAGGATGGATCAACATATACAAACCAATAAATGTGAAAAAACACATTAATAGAATAAAAGATAAAAATCATATTCTCATCTCAATAGGTGCAAAAAAGCATTTGACAAAATACAACATCCTTTCATGATAAAAACACTCTGTAAAAGGGACATACCTCAATATGTAAAGGCCACATACAACCAACCCACAGCTAACCTCGTATTCATTGGTGAAAAAAATGAAAGCTTTTCCTCTAAGATCAGGAACAAGACAAGTGTACTCACTATCACCAATATTATTTAACGTGGTATTAGAAATCCTAGGAAGTTTCATCTTTTTATATCCACAAAATTATGTGATCTTGCTTTGCATATGCGCTTCCTAAACCCATTGAGATCCAAGAAAGTCACTGACATCAACTTAAGAAACTGAATTTGCTATCAAAATCCATATGAATCTCACTGGAAATAAAAAGCCTTCAGATTCCAAAGCAGAATGACTATGCATTACTGTTTGTTCCACCTCTCTCTCTCCCTCCCTTCCTCCTGACCTCCACCTTTAAGTCTCCTTCTCCCCGTTTCCTCCTTCTCCTTCTCTCTCTCAGCCTCTAGATCTCTCAATATCTCTCTCTCTTTCTCTCTCTCTCCTGTTGTAGTCGGTTTCACAGCATTGCTACTTTTGTCATAAAATCCTTTTTTTATCTGTTTGCTCTATTCGATCACTTGCAACTCAACAATCCTATTTATATTCTGCAGTCTCAGTTCAGGAATTTGACACATTTAATATAATTGGCTTAAATGCCATTACTCTAATTTGTCGAATCTCCCTTTGTCAGATTACTTCATGGTTTACCAGATAGTTTATGTTCTCTCGGTTCACGTAACCACTTCTGGCTCCATCTGTGGTCATCCTTGTACAACCAAGCACAATACAAAAACAGCAGCCTAGCATTGCCTCCTTTGGAAGAAAATCTGAGTAGGGCAATTGCAGGTAGATGTAATTTTCAGGCATGTCAAATACTATAACTGACATGCTCTGGACATCATTCCTCTTTAAGCCACTGATGACCTGTGCTGCTTTGCCTATATTGAATTCACTTACCTCATCTGTAAAAGTTTAAATGAACTGGAGTTGATAATTATTATCCTTTCAACTCAAATATTTCGGGAGGGCCAAATGTACCATAAAAATGGAGAGAGTTTTGGGCAGGAAGGGAGATCCTCAAATACTACTCCATTAGGGAGGAACCGTATGTGTAGCTGACTTTAGTTTACCCTGACGCTTAATTCTTTGGTTTCTCCCCCTAGAAACATTTGAGATATCCTTAGAGCTGGTGATATTTGAGGAAACGAGGGAGAAGAAACAAAAAGTACATCAATTTTTGTGGCAATATCTTGTCCTGGCAGAGCAAACTGCGAAACTATTACATAAGTGTTTTCAACTGAAGATAAACGTTTGTATATTAAGGGTTACCTCCTAGGAGGGGCAATGCAGAAGAGTTCAGTTTGCTCAGTTTTTTTCTTTTATTCTGTTTTTTTCTTTTTTGTGAGAAAGATTAGCCCTGAGCTAACATCTATTGCCAACATTCCTCTTTTTGCTTGAGAAAGATTGTTGCTGAGCTAACATCTATGCCAATCTTCCTCTATTTTCTATCTGGGATGCCACCTGGCATGACTTGATGTGCTGGGCATAGGTTCGTACCCCAGATCCTAACCTGTGAACCCCAAGCCACTGAAGCACAGCACGTGAACTTAACCACTACACCACCAGGCAGGCCCACAATATTTTTTTTATGGAAAATATAAATTCAAAACATTTATCTTGGGAAACAGATATATTTTCAGTAAATATGTGTACTCTACATACAAGAGTTGGGAATGCCATGTGGCAACCTATGTGGACAGGATTCAAGAGGAGAGACTTCAAGGGTCATCTCAAGTTTGAGGTTTTATCTGGAAGGCTGACCATAGAA